ATATAAAGCAAGCTTGGCAGTTTCAAAGTTGCAATTAATGTTTTTCAGGCGATTATCTCTAGGAAGTGCAAGAGAGAGTACATATATGCTTTACTGATTTGCAAACAGGAAGGTAAATACACTCACATAATAATCCAAACCAAAAATCAAGTTATGAATTTACCTAATTGGCTGTGCAGATCAAATCAAAGCCAAAGCATAGCACATCATGCACAGTTCTTTGGTTGTGCTAAAACTAGTGTGTGTCAACAGTTTTCAGTGCCTTAGTTTTTTTCTTAAATTTAAATTTAAACAAACAATGGCATGTAAGGGAAGTACATGCTATTGTATATTGTCTTTACATTTTTACAAATATTCCAATAAAAATTATTTATTTCCACATAAAGCTTTGCATTTGTTTGAATATAACATTTAAACCACATTAAGTGTGCTGTATTTAATTTTTTTTCCTAATCAAATATTTTAGTTCAAATATTGGGACATAAAATCAACATCGGGGACTTTTTTAGTTTTGTTTACTAAATATAAGTTAAATAGAACGTGATCTGATTTTTACCATGTTTATTTAAGGCATTGGAAAATTTTCCAATTCAAAATTTTCCAAAAAATCAACATCTCTGGTTTTTAGGTAGTGAACAGTAATTACAGCTTACAGCTTATTTTTTACTATTAAGTAAAAATTAGTTTAGCTACTGCCAGGGTCTTGTTTACTTTATACTGAAAGAACACAAAAATAGTTTGATTCATCCACAACACCGGAAGCTATAATGTTATTAGCAGATGCCTCTATATTGTACAATTGAGGAGGGAACTCTATAGAACACAGTTATAGTCAAGGTAATTCTGGACCTCTCACTCTACATGCAGCTCCTCTAATAGTATGAAATCCAATACAAAATTAAATGGGGTATTGTACACAGAAAACCAATCATTGAGATAGACTGTTCTCTGTTGCCATAGGAAACAGGACTAGAAGCAACGGACTCAAGCTGCAGCAGAGGAAATTTAGATTGGAGATTACAAAGAACTTTCTATGAGGGTCATCAAACACTGGAACAGGCTACCTAGAGAAGCTGGACATTTTCAAGAGTAGATAAGACAGACACTTAACTGGGACAGTTTAGTCAGCAATGCTCCTGCCTTAGGCAGGTGGATGGACTAGATGATCTCATGAGGTCTGTTGCAGCCATATCTTCCTGTGATCCTAAATAAGAGAAAACTCAAAAGGTTGGGGCAACCAACCTTAGGGGGGAAAGAAACTCAACCAATTGTTTAAAACCAACTTTCTAAGAAATCAAATACATGAAAAAAATCTAACATGCATTTGGAATGTTTGGGCTCTAAATTAGGGCTCAGACCTAAACTGCCATTCAAAAAAAAAGATGTCACTGATGGTTCTTCACTGGACCAGAAGATGATTTCACTCCTTTTTTTCCCTATTATATTTCTAATGCCTCCAACTAAGGTTATGATCTCACAGCACAGAATCTTCTGATTTCATCATTCCACTCCCCCCACCTGTTAGCTTCAGATCAAGTTCTGCTGAAAGGGAAACTTAAATGCCATAGTCCAGTGTTCAGTGTTGGTTCTATATTCATTTGTTTGTGTTGCTTCTGAATAAATATAGTTCATTTTGCAAGTTTGTTTCTAAAAAAAAAAAATTTAAAAATGGGCCCACAAATCTAACTGGGTTTTTAGATTCAAACTTGGGGATTTTTTTTGTTCAAGCATCATCATCAGAAAATTCTACAGGTAAAATATAATTAGGAATTCTTTTAGACATGTGTGAGTTAGAGTGGAATCCAAAAGGCATAATAAATAAGTCTGGTACTGAAAGAAAAAGACCTGGAGAAGTGGAGAAGTGTAATTTAGAATTAGAAGATGACATTTTTAACACCATAATTTGTAAAGGAAAAGTTGCACCTTACATGCTTTCCTTCTACAAAACTAGACATGTCCAAAGAACACTTACCACTGCTTTGCAACAAATTCTTATCTACCCACAATATACACCCATTAAAACTGCAGTTCAAGCATTGTACTTATACCTGAAAATCAGGAAGTTAAACATTTTTTTAAAATCTAAGCTAAGCAAAGGGAAAACTAAATAAAATTAGAACATTTTATTTTTTTTAACATTTTTCTAATCTTAACCTTGGGTATATTCAGTTATGCAGATCAAAAAATTAATTTTCTGAAATATGTATTTTCTTAATGGAAGACTTCTTTTTAGAGGAGTTTACTCTCTTACCAATGTATACAATAAGAACACTTTCATAAAGATTTTAGCTACTAATGCATATAGACTTTATTAGTTTTATATTATAATGCGTATATGGAACCGATTTTTAGGCACAAGTATATTATATTATTTATTGGGTATATGATCCCACATCTAGTTTATCAAAATTCTGGCACTGAGCCATAGGAAATACCAACCTCCAAGAGTGCACAAATCCCAGGCTAAAAAAAACGCCAACGTTCTTCCATCATAAAACAAGATCTGTTAGAGCAGAAGCACCTGAATGAACATTAAGAGAAAAAAAAATCAGCTACTAAGCAATGACTATGAAGGGATTTATTTGTAATATTGCTGTACAGTTATTTTAATTAGGACATAAGGGTTCTCTTTTACAATCATGCTACTCCTGTTATGCAAAAAAAGAGTCCAAATGCAATCACAGTTACCGCAGTGCTGACATTCCTAGGTTCTGAATTGCAAATGTCAATTATTTCCTGCTTTCTCGGATCAGGTTCTCTGTAGAGATTCCTCCCACTTCACCAGCCTCTACTGTTTTTTGGGGTTTTGTTGTGCTGAGATGTTCCGGGGATCCAAACCCAAGGCACCACATGAATACACAGGGCTGCTTCACTACCGCCAATCACCCAGAGCCCAGCAGCATCTGCGCCAGGCTTTGTGCTCTGGGAGTATTGATCCTTCCCCTCCCCGGAGGCCGGCGGCGGAACGGCGGATCAAGCGGCTCGGGGCCAGAGCGGCTGAGGCAATAGGCAGGTGACCGACGACGCCCGTCCCTCGCCCGCTGCCGGCCACGCTGGGAAAGCGGCCTCTCTCCTTCCAGGCCGCCCCCCGCATCTCGGCCGAGCGCTCCGCACACTGGACAGCCCGGACCAGAGCAGACCAGACCAGCCGGCCCCTGCCTCGAGCACTGCGCCGCCCGGCGCCCGCTGACACTGGCCCGCCAGCAAGGGCGCGGGGCAGAGCCAGAGCCAGACCCCCTCCCCCTCATCACCGCCTCCACCCCCGCAGCGAGGCCGAGGGACCCCCTGCGCCCGCCCCGGGCCGAGCGGCGGTACCTGGGCGGAGGGCCCGGCGCAG